ATTTTCCCGGTACTCAAATGGACCTGGTACACTATATGTTGAGGTTTCGCATGAAAGAAAATATGTTAGACACTGCTGCAATAATGTCTGCACAGAAATGAGCTGAAACACATTCAAACAACACACAAAAAAAAAAAAAAAAGTAATCTCAACAAATATTGCTCTCTCTGCTTCTGCTCTCTCTATTTCTCTCAAAATGTCTGAAATAATTACTTGTTTACTGTTTTTCAGTGCATTCTGGGCATTTTAGAAGGTCTCCTGAGGTTATGTTTAAAAATCGGTTCTAAACGCAAACGCTCATAAACGCGGTATGCAAATGCAGCTAAACAGACGTTTTTTTAACCTACGTTTTCCAGCAGTCAGTTTTCATTGTTCAGAAGTGTCCCATTTACATGGAACCTTATATTGATTCTAATCTAACAACACTTCTTAAAATTATTTAGAGATCCAGTCCAGGGGCAGACTGACAACTCATGGGGCCCCAGGCAATAGGGGATCATGGGGTCCCTTTGTCCTTGCCCAAACTCAAAAAAGCCTATGAAAAAGGTACCAGGGGCATCTTTTGGGGCCCCCTACTGACCCCAGGCCCTCGGGCAGTGCCCAAGTTTCCAAATGGTCAGTCCACCCCTGATCCAGTCCCATATCCCCATCATCAAGGGTTATGGATACCCCTGCATTAAACAATTGCTGAACTGCTACAGAATATGATCAATATTATGGCAAATACCCAGGTAGCATCCAAAAGCTATAGGTGAACTGTACATGAAAACATTTGATTTCAATAAAGCGCAGTTTGTGCCTGGTAATGTGCCATGGACTGTCTCTTCTTTCAGCATTATATGTTATGTTTTTCGGGGAGATAAGCGACGGTTAGTTGCAAATTGTTGTTTTCCAGTTATTCCCCTATGGTTAGACTAAAGACAGGCTCTGAAATCTCTACAATCACACTTGTGAAACCGTTCTTGCCTTTCCCCTGCAGGTAAAAACATGCATTGACTGAGGAGAGAGAGAAGCCTCTGTTCCTGATACCGTCTCCTTGCTCTTCCAAATAATGCACAAGAAAGGCCCAGCTGTTCAGCCAGGACATGTTGGAATATTTGGCATTCCTCATTCCTGTACCGGTTTGTGTGTACATTATTAAATCCTTTTGCACCTCTGCATCTTACGTAAATGGAGTGAGTAGTAAGCTTTGCGGATGACCTATCAATCATTACTAAGAACGCACATTTACAACGGTTCCAGAAAAAAAAAATACCGGCTTTTATTTCGCTGAGCACTGGGTTTAACTACACTTTGCAAACCCTTTACAGAGGGCGTTAGGATTTGTAGTATGTCCAAACAAGGCTGCGAAAGCTCAAACACAGATCAGCAGGACATGAGTCATTAGCGAATTCTTATTTATACACTCATCAGATTAACTCTTTATAGTGAGGAATCTCAGGTATAAAATGTAGGAATTAAAGGATAAAGACAGATAAAAAATATTACATTCATGGATTGTTTTAAAATAATGCAATGTATTTTTACATACAACTAACCTAAGTCCCTGAATTTGTCTTGGTTTCAGCCTCATATCACCCGTCACATAGCATCACTAAAACTGGGAGAGGGAGGGGCAACACTGGGAGCCAACCAGACTCCTCTCTGCATGCACATGCGCTGGCAGCTCACATGCTTATAGGTGGCAAGTGTATAGTAAAAATGATCATATATTAGTAGAAATTTCTAATCATTAGTGGGGTCAAAGTGACGTTCGTTTTTGACCGTAGTGACAAGAAAATTCAAAGCAGCAGGATGGAAATTATTTCTAGAACTAATTAATTTCTAACAGTGTATGTGGTTTTCATTTGAGAAAGTCCATTTATATGTTAAAAGAAAATTACATTTTGAAGTACTTTCAAAAAAACATTGATCAAGTCATCGAATGTACTCAGAATGTACTAAGCCAATGCATGGCCAGCTGACAGCGGTGTAAAAATACAAATAAGTGAAATAACGTGCAATTGCACATTATTTCATTTCTTTGTATTTATATATGTAGCAACTACCTATTCTATTATACACTGACATTATAGTGTCCATTTCACTAAATTAGGGGCAGCTTCACACTATAATGACACTTGTCCAAGTTGGCACCTTAAATAATTATTTTTTCATGAAAGTGGTGTAAAGGCTCAAGATTGTTTATCTTCATGCATTCTTTATGTGCAGCAGTGCCCCCCAGCCCTCCTAAAACCTACCTGAGCTCCATCTTGATCCAGTGATGTGCACAAGAGCCTCCTCTCTCCTGGGTCTCTCCTTCCTCATTGGCTGAGACAGCAGCGGTAGCCATTGGCTCCCACTGCTGTCAATCACAGCCAGTAAGCCAATGAGGAGATAGTGGGGTGGGGCCAAGTTGCATCTGTGTGTGAATGGACACACAGAGCAGCGGCTCGGGAGCGATCCTGCTCGGGTGCCCAAATAGAAGGGGCCTGAAGCGCTGTTGGGGTACCCGAGAAGGGGAAGACAGGGGCTGCTTTGTGCAAAACCATTGCACAGAGCAGGTAAGTATGAGATGTTTGTTATTAAAAAGTCAATCACTGTAGCTTAGGGTGTGGTTGCCATCATCATATTTCCATACAGAGAGAATTTTGCCTTACATTTTGGGGGATTTTTAAGGCAACCATGAAGTTTACACAGAGAAACCAGTTATTAAAAAGATCAACATTTTATTTAAACACATTTCTTTTATCTGACACATTGATGTATATCCGGTACGGAGTACATACTGACCAATGTAAAGAGGAACAATTTTTGACAAAACATTCACTACACAGATTTGTGGTTTTTACAATATGTATCCAGTGGTATCCCTCAAAAGCTGATTTCCATCTTGCAACCTCAAGTATGACTGCAGATATATGCAGCCTGGAATCCAACGCATTTCAAATACATTAATACAGATTCTTCCTCAGGGAAAGGATACCACTCTATAACAATAATTATTATCAATAATCAATTATCGGTACATATTTTTACAATTCAATAGGAATAAATTAGCCATATGGGATACATGACTTACATAGCCACCAAAAATAGTCAAAGGAAAATGTTTCACTGTGTTTAGAAGGCGAAGGTAATCTTTATATACCTTTGGGAAGACTTGTTGCCAAATTTCATAAATATAGAATGCCCAAAGTCACCTTTTCAGCTTTAGACAGAATACATGTTCCTACCAAGGGGGGCGACTGGAACAAGGCACTACTACAGCAAGAAATGCGCTGGATTAGGTGCCTTGATGCCACCCGCCATCCCAGTTTAAATGAATCTGAAAGCTATAGACCCTTTTTAGAGGGCTTTGCTTCTGGCAAAACAGATTAATAATGTTCTTAATATGTTTTCCCCTAACAGGGGACTTTCCCGTTCTATTTGTGCTGCAGGGATTCCTTTGTCAATGTTATTCATTTGTTGTATTTTTCTTTCCCTTCATCAATTTATGTTTTGCTGTCCAGATTATATAGCAACTTTTAAAATCTTTGCTATAAACGTTTTGTACATGGTTTTGCTGTGAAGGTTGGTTCCTTTCTTCCTGATGGAACGGTCTTATTTTGGTGTGTGTCCCGCACAGAAAGGGTCCCCTATTACAATGGGGGACCTGTATTTGTGGCTGTAGAGAGCAATGGGGTAAGTTTTCTCTTCCCCCTTGTTCTCATGCACTCATGTGCAGTCCGCATTATTTTCGTGTCGGCGGTGGTCTCCAACATGATGCCCCATCCGGTCTCTGGAAGTGTGGCATTCTGGGGTCGGATGTTATGTCAATGCGCATGATGCTTTTGCGCCTGCGCAGTTGAGATGAATGCTGGGGACCCACGATGGGCGCCATCTTCCTCTTCAGCGGACATGCTCTATACATGGGAGGAAATACATACATCACACCCACTTTGGAATCTACAAAAGGCCACTATTGGCATTATCAAACACAGCTTTCAGTATCTAGCTCTATCCTGGGAGGAATCACATATATGGTGCCCAGCGCTGATCCCCTTGAGGGTTGTGGTCTGAACAAGACTAAGCTTTGAATATTCAACTTGAACACACTGTTACATTGCTTTGCAGTTTATGGTGAGTTAAATATCAGCAATTACTTTTGATATTTATTTCAAAAATAATTTTTAAACTATATAGCTCATATATTCAATATATTCCATTGTTCTTTTAGACTATATAATATTCATTATGGGGAAATATGTAACTTATCATGATTTTCCCCTTAATCTATGTGTCCATTAAAAGGAGACACATTACCACAAACTCACATATTTGATGCCCTGCTCTATCTTTAACAACTAGCCTACAGGTTACTTATACCCCCTCCTGCCCAGGCCAATTTCCAGCTTTCAGCGCTGTCACACTTTGAATGACAATTGCTCGGTCATGCAACACTGTAACCATATGAAATTTTTATAATATTTTTGCGACAGATAGAGTTTTATTTTGGTGGTATTTAATCACCTCTGGGTTTTTTTATTTTTAACAAACCAAAACCACTGAAAATTTTGAGAAAAAAAAAGTTTTTGCTTAGTTTTTGTTTTAAAATTTTGTAAATACATGATTTTTCTTCTTCTTACTGATGTGCACTAATGAGGCTGCAGTGATGGGCACTGATAGGCTGCACTGATGGACACTGATAGGTGGCACTGATGGGCACTGATGAGGAGGCACTGGTAGGTGGCACTGATGGGCATTGACAGGCATCACTGATGGGCACTGAAAGGCAGCACTGATAGGCGGCACTGATAGATGGCACTGATAGGCGGCACTGACTGGCACTGATAGGCGGTACTGACTGGCACTGTTAGGTGGCGCTGACTGGCACTGTTAGGCAGCACTGACTGGCACTGATAGGCGGCACTGATGGTCACTGATAGGCGGCACTGATGCGCACTGATAGGCGGCACTGACTGGCACTGATAGGCGGCACTGACTGGCAGCACTGATAGGTGGCACTGATTGGCATTGATAGGTGGCACTGACTGGCACTGATGGGTAACACTGAAAGGCAGCTCAGATGGGCACTGATATGTGGCATTGATGTGCACTGGTAGGCACTGATATGTGACATTGATGTAGCACTGATGGGCAACGGCATGTGGCACTGATGAGCACTGGCAGCTGGCACTGATGGACACTGATAGGTGGCACTGCTGGGGCTACACTGATCATCAGGGCACACTGATCATCAGTGCTCTGATGATCAGTGTACATGTTCCCTCCGCGGAATGCTGATTACCGGCTCTCCTCTCCTCTCGAGCTGTCAGCGTGACAGCTCGAGAGGAGAGAAATGCAGATAACCGGCATTTCCCTGTTTACGTGTGATCAGCTGTGATTGGACACAGCAGCTGACATCTTCTGCTCTTTCATGACCGTGTCCGAGGGACCGACATCTCTCTGGGAGCCTGGGAGCCGTGCATGTGTGGTTAGAATGGGAGGATGTCATATGATGTCCTCCCTGAACAAGAGAACCACCTTGCATCCGTCATATTACTATATGGCGGGCGGGAGGTGGTTAAGATATTATTACATATAGCATTATACATATATATTTTGTTATGACAACGCTTGTGATGTGACACCTGTGGTCCTTGCACGTCAGTTGATGACCTGAGCTATGGAAGATATTCCCCTTCTAAGCACAATGAAACATTTTCTTTTGACTATTTTTGGTGGCTATGTAAATCACGTATCCCATATCGCTAATTTATTGCTATCTAATTGTAAAGATATGTACCGATAATTGATTATTGATTATAATTATTGTTATAGAGTGGTATCCTTTCCCTGAAGAAGAATCTGTATTAATGTATTCGAAATGTGTTGGATCCCAGGCTGAATATATCTGCAGTCATACTTGAGGTTGCAAGATGGAAATCAGCTTTTGAAGGATACCACTGGATACATATTGTAAAAACCACAAATCTCTGTAGTGAATGTTTTGTCATAAATTGTTGCTCTTTACATTGGTCAGTATGTACTGCCTACCTGATATACATCAATGTGTCATATAAAAGAAATGTGTTTAAATAATATGTTTATCTTTTTAACAATTGGTTTCTCTGTATAAACTTCAAGGCTGCCTTAGCCGCTTCCCACCCAGCCACTGCACATACAGGTGAAACTCGAAAATCTAGAATATTGTGCAAAAGTTCATTTATTTCAGTAATGCAACTTAAAAAGTGAAACTAATATATGAGAGAGACTCATTACATGCAAAGCAAGATAGTTCAAGCCATGATTTGTCATAATTGTGATGATTATGGCTTACAGCTCATGAAAACCCCAAATCCACAATCTCAGGAAATTAGAATATTGTGAAAAGGTGCAATATTCTCGGCTCAAAGTGTCCCACTCTAATCAGCTAATTAAGCCATAACACCTGCAAAGGGTTCCTGAGCCTTTAAATGGTCTCTCAGTCTGGTTCAGTAGGAATCACAATCATGGGAAAGACTGCTGACCTGACAGTTGTGCAGAAAACCATCATTGACACCCTCCATAAGGAGGGAAAGTCTCAAAAGGTAATTGCAAAAGAAGTTGGATGTTCCCAAAGTGCTGTATCAGAGCACATTAATAGAAAGTTATGTGGAAGGGAAAAGTGTAGAAGAAAAAGGAGCACAAGCAGCAGGGATGACCGCAGCTTGGAGAGGATTGTCAGGAAAAGGCCATTCAAAAGTGTTGGGGACTTTCACAAGGAGTGGACTGAGGCTGGAGTCAGTGCATCAAGAGCCACCAAACACAGACGGATCCTGGACATGGGCTTCAAATGTCATATTCCTCTTGTCAAGCCACTCCTGAACAAACAACAACCGAAGCGTCTTACCTGGGCTAAAGAAAAACAGACCTGGTCTGTTGCTTAGTGGTCTAAAGTCCTCTTTTCTGATGAGAGCAACTTTTGCATCTCATTTGAAAACCAAGGACCCAGAATATGGAGGAAGAATGGAGAGGCACACACTGCAAGATGCTTGAAGTCCAGTGTGAAGTTTCCACAGTCTGTGTTGATTTGGGGAGCCATGTCATCTGCTGGTGTTGGTCCACTGTGCTTCATTAAGTCCAGGGTCAACGCAGCTGTCTACCAAGAGATTTTGGCTTCCTTCCGCAGACGAGCTTTATGGGGATGCTGACTTCATTTTCCATCAGGACTTGACACCTGCCCACACTGCCAAAAGCACCAAAACCTGGTTCAATGACCATGGGATTACTGTGCTTGATTGGCCAGCAAACTCGCCTGACCTGAACCTCATAGAGAATCTATGGAGCATTGCCAAGAGAAAGATGAGAGATATGAGACCGAACAATGCAGAAGAGCTGAAGGCTGCTATTGAAGTGTCCTGGTCTTCCATAACACCTCAGCAGTGCCACAGGCTGATAGCTTCCATGCCACGCCGCATTGAGGCAGTAATTGCTGCAAAAGGGGCCCAAACCAAGTACTGAGTACATATGCATGCTTATACTTTTCAGAGGTCCGATATTGTTCTATGTACAATCCTTGTTTTATTGATTGCATGTAATCTTCGAATTCTCTGAGATTGCGGATTTGGGGTTTTCATGAGCTGTAAGCCATAATCATCACAATTATGACAGATCGCGGCTTGAACTGTCTTGCTTTGCATGTAATGAGTCTATCTCATATATTAGTTTCACCTTTTAAGTTGCATTACTGAAATAAATGAACTTTTGCACGATATTCTAATTTTTCGAGTCTCACCTGTAAACAGCCTGGTAGGAGCTTCATCGTTCTGAGTGGACTTTCAGGAACGTCCTTCAGAACATGCGCACAAGCGTGGCCTTCCAGCTGCGCACTCTCAGTGTGCCTGTGTCCCTTGGACACAGTGCAACACCGCTCGGCAGAAGGGCCCTCTGATTGGCCCTTCTGATCACATGACAGCGGTGTCCAATCACAGCTGTCATGTGAGGTTAACAAAGCTGCCATTCAGTGGAACGGCTCTGCCTCTCCTCACACAGAGCCCGTGAGTGAGGAGAAGCAGAGCCGATCAGCAAGTACACACAAGCACATCGCCCACAAATCACCCTGTCACAGTGCCAGTATCTGTCATTGGTACTGTGACAGATGTGGATCACTGGTACCATGACAGATGTGGATCATCTGTGATTCACATCTGTCACAGTACCAGTGCCAGTGATCCACATCTGTGATCCACATCCGTCCCAGTGCCAGTGATCTACATCTGTCACAGTACCCATGATCCACATCTGTCACCGTACCCGTGATCCACGTCTGTCACCGTACCCGAGATTCACATCTGTCACCGTACCCGAGATTCACATCTGTGATAGTGCCAGTGATCCACATCTCTCATAGTACTCGTGATCTACATCTGTGATCCACATCTGTCACAGTGCCAGTGGTCCATATCTGTCACAGTACCTGTGAGCCACATCTGTCACCGTACCTGTGATCCACATCTGTGATCCACATCTGTCACAGTGCCAGTGATCCTCATCTGTCACAGTGCCCATGAACCCCATCTGCCACAGTAACCGTGATCCACATCTGTCACCGTACATGTGAGCCACATCTGTCACCATACCCGTGAGCCACATCTGTCACAGTACCCGTGATCCACATCTGTCACTGTACCCGTGATCCACATCTGTCACCGTACCCGTTATCCACATGTCACAGTACCAGTGATCCACATCTGTGATCCACATCTGTCACAGTGCCAGCGATCCACATCTATCACCGTACAAGTGATCCACATCTATCATCGTACCCATGATCCATATCTATCACAATACCCATGATCCACATCTGTCACTGTACCCGTGATCCACATCTGTGATCCATATCTGTGATTCACATCTGTCACAGTGCCAGTGATCCACATCTGGCACAGTACCCGTGATCCACATCTGTGATCAACATCTGCCACAGTACTAGTGATCAACATCTGTCACACAGTATCAGTAATCCACACCCATCACAGTGTACCAGTGGTCATCCACATCTGTACCAGTGATCCACATCAGTCACGGTGCACCAGTGTAAAATTCACATCTGCACCAGTGATCCACATCAGTCACAGTGTACCAGTGCTCATCCACTTTTGTACCAGTGATCAACATCTCTCATGGTCTACCAGGGTCAAAGCCACATCTGTCATAGTCTATCAGTGCTCAATATCTGTCACAGTGTACCAGTGTCAAATCAACATCTGTACCAGTGATAAACATCTGTACCAATGAACATCAAAATGTCTAAAAAAATTATACACCAGCGAGGAGCCTTTCCAGATACTGAGTATGATGGAGAAGACTAGTGGGGAACTCTCTTTGTCAGACTCAGAATTTCAGTATGAGCCAATTGAAAGCAGGGGGTCAGCAACGAATTCTGAGGAGGAGAGAGTCCAAACAAAGAGGTTCAGGAGATCTGAGGAGGAGCAGGCATACACTAGTAGCACAGTGGCGAGTACAAGCAGCACAGCACTCCCAGAAGATAGGCAGGCATCCAAGGGTAATTCCATTGTCCAGCAGAATGTATTTTGGGTGCAATTTTTGGTATGTACATGCTATGTGTTAGAAATATCTTATAAATGGACAACTTTGTGTAAATAAAATACATTTTCATTTTCTTTCCACATTTTTTCTGAAAATGGTGCTCCAGGGCCTTCAAAATTGTGATAGGTAGTCAGAAATTGAGATGTGTCATTTATGCTTCCAGAACACCTGTAGGTCCTGCTTGGATGTTGGGCCTCTGTATGTGGCTAGGCTGTGAAAAAGTCTTACACATGTGGTATGCTCATACTCGGGAGGAGAAGCAGAATGTATTTTGGGGTGTAATTTTTTGTTATGTACATGCTATGTGTTAGAAATATCTTAAAAAACTGACAACTTTGTGTAAATAAAAATGCATTTTAATTTTCTTTACACAGTTTCTGAAAACTTGTGGAAAAAAATGGCATGTTCAAAAGGCTCATTAGGCCTTGTACAATATACATTGTGGTGTTTGCTTTCCAGAATGTGGTCATTTTGTAGGTAATTTCATTATCCTGGTGCTCCAGGGCCTTCAAAAATTGTGATAAGTAGTCAGGAAATTAGATGTGTAATTTATGCCTCCAGAAAGCCTGTAGGTCCTACCTGGATGTTGGGCCTCTACGTGTGGCCAGGCTGTGGAAAAGTCTTACCCATGTGGTATCCCCATGCTCAGGAGGAGTAGCAGAATGTATTTTGGAGTGTAATTTTTGGTATGTACATGCTATATGTTAGAAATATCTTATAAATGGACAAGTAGGCGCTAGAAATATCTTATAAATGGAAAACTATGTGTTAGAAATATCTTATAAATGGACAAGTTTGTGTAAAACAAATACATTTTCATTTTCTTTTTCCA